ATTTGGTATATAAGTATTTTTAGTTTTCTTTTATATGTTATTACATTATATCTTTACTTATATTATTCTTGCGACGTTTTCCCTGCCATATCTTTTGTTTTCTCTTTCTAATGTGCTCCCCATCTGCGGAGATAGTATTTTACCAAACTCTGCTAATGGAGCTTGAACGAATATGGCTGAGAGGCAGATTCTACGGCGTTTGCTTGCGGTAATTAGAGGTAGCACAATGGGCCCTTGTGAAGTGGTACTCAGCCGTAATATTGTGAAGTACGAGGATCGGTTGTGTACTCCTACTACTATATCCCGGAATGCGTTGAAGTCTGTTCACATGTTGCAGACAGCCGAAACAATCGTCTATAAAATATTACGTGCCACCAAATTTTTTCCCTTATCTTGGTGTAGTACTCATGATTAAGTGGTACAAAAACTTAACTATTACTCTTCATGAAACAGTAGCAGTACTGTTTATTACGATTGGAGCCGAAGGGAGCACAGCTTCTAGCCGTAGAGAAATATAAATTTATTTATTTATGTGCTTATGCAATTGTAGTATGGATATGGAGGCGTTTGTAAGTAATCGTGTTGCGTGTATTTGTCAGTGTCACTGTGTAGTTGTGAGTTTGTTCGGGGAAAGCCCTAATAAAGAAAGGATGAACCGGAACCTCTGAAGTAGTTGACGTTCGCGGAACGTGTAAGCACCTCCGGTATGGCAAGGCGCTGACGTGATTTAGGTCTAAGTCATATCCGCCACGTCATTGTGCTTTTAAGCAGACATTTGTGGCAGTTTTTAGGGAAGACGCATTACAGTCAAAAAAGCACCACGCCCTTGAACTTTGCACCTGAACAAGTAGATGGGCCGGGATTAACCCGAAACACGCAGGTGATCCAACGTGAATGTTGTTCGGCCAGTCCGCCATAATATGTTGAAACATAAAGCTGCTTGTACGCTAACACTCTGTCATTGCGAAACAAGGTGCTGGAAATCGCTGTACTTACGTTTGACATCTGGGAAATAGTAGGTGAAGTTCGTCTGGACTGCACATCCTTGAACTTAGACTCACGCCACAATTTTAGACATACTGTTCCTGACCATTGAGCCACCACCCAGTAGCTTCTGTATATAGTGCAATCAGCGCATTTCCTACGAAGCAACGTGCGTGGTGCGAAACTATCGCTTGCGCCGTCTTGGTCATGCTTGATTCGGTATGCCTCGAAGTATTCTGGAATAAATTATTTATTCATTTATTTATTTAAGGCATTCGCACTTGGGCGACTACTTAGCAGGTCAAGGTTCGAAAGTCACTCGGCATACCTAAATGGACATCGAGACTTTTGCACAAACCGACAGCAGGTTCGACCATATCCATATCGATATCGTCGGCCCCTTACCTTATTCCGAAGGTAGTTCTTGTATACTGATGTGCAAAGATTCTTTCACTCAATGGCCAGAAGGCATTCCCATTGCAGACACACTTGCAGAAACGATCGCGTGTGCACTTGTCCCCAGATGAATAGCCAGTTTGACTTTCCTTGCTCCACCACCATTGACCGCGGTTCGCAAATCGAATCCCAGTTTTTCCAACAGTTGCCGGAACTATTGGGCTGCAAAAAGATTTTGGACCACAGCTTACCCACCCAGGTGAACGGTTTAGTCGAACGTTTTCATCTACAATTAAAATGTGGGATCGAAGGACAGACCGATACGACTCATTGGACACATACACTCCTGATGACTTTGCCCCACTCAAAACAACGTTTCCGTCTTCGCTACAATATTTACCCACGGAACTGTTTTTCTGAACCACATTAAGCATCACTAGTCCAACGTTTACCCCAGTAACCAACAGTAACACTGATCCGTTCAGTTACATGACTAAACTGCAAAAGCACATGAGCAACTACATTACAACGTGCCTACGAGTTCAGAGCAAACATCCTAAGTGTACCCTGATCTCTCTTGGCGCACTCGTGTTTTAATTCACAATGACCGGGATAAAAAGCTTCAACTCCTCCGTATGAGGGTACAGTTTTGTTTTTCGATTTCGTGCTATGCGTTTTACTGTCCAGCTAAACAATAAAACGAAAGCTGTTAGCATTGACCACTTATACCGAACTTTTGGAGTTCACCTTAACAGATAACACACAAGTCAACATGCACGAAAGGCCGCTGCCGTCTCTGATAGTAAGAGTGCAAACGGATGCTTCTACCAAGTAAACGACACTTGTCACTAGATCCGGAGGACGTGTGCATTGGCCGGACAGCTTTGTTCCATACCGAGACCAAGGACATAACACTAATGATTTACCTCTCTAAAATATTCACGCACCTTCGTTAAGAGGTCCTTCTGCCACGTAAGTCACTCATGTCTGTTGAGCTTTGCTTTGTATTTCTGCTACATGGCAAAGCTTAATCACACACACGTGATATACTCCACGTGATGTTTACGCCGGAGTCAACACAGCCCGTGGCCGCTAAACAATGCACGCTAGCACGCCACAGCACGTGACAACTATATACAATTGGAAAAGCTCTTTAGCTCGCATTCAGTCTGCTTAGTCTGTCGCACCAAGACGCAACACACAACACAACTGGAACTGTCGGACAATGGGCGTGCGCTTCCGTTCGCGCGCTCAAGCCTCGACTTGGATATTGTCGTATCGATACTGCAAGCTGATTTGGACTCACAGCCATCACCCAAGCACACGCGACAAATCTCTTAGTTATGTAACTTTAATGACCGTACCTATTAGTATTATTGCTATTATTATTATCATTGCCTGGCCTTCTGGTGCTGTAACCGCATGCGTTAAGCGGCGTTAATACGTTGCAGGGCCTGTTAGATGGGACGACCTACATATAAGCAGACATTTCGTGCTTCTTCATTTAATGTTTTCTGCCATCCGAATGTGCTACTCCGAAGCTAGCATGCAAAGCATATCACAAGTGAACAGAGACGAAAGGTTATTTCCTCTCCGATATATCATGATGAAGACGGTACTGCCAATCGAAGTCCAGCAAATATGAACGCGGCTGCAAACAAATTCCGCATTTAGGTATAAGCTGCAAACGCGTTTACTTACTGCAAACACCAGTCGAATAGCTACGTCCGTACTACTTCTGTGTTTGGCTCAATCGCTCGCAAACTCTGCAAGTCCTATTGGAAACTGGATTTTCTTTCCTTTGGCAAAAGTGTGTTAAGTAAGAAAATCTACAGCCAGTAAAGTCACAAATAGCCAATTCCTCAAGACGTATCCAATAACATTTGGTTGAGAAGTGGTCTCCACCAGGATTACCTCTTCGTAAACCTCCACTTCCGAAAGCATCCTTGATGGCAATAGGAACCCGTAAGGAATCTCTCGGCCTTCATGAGCCAACTGCCACTGACCATAACTCCTTACGGTGGATGTCACTACCTTCACCTCGCTGGTATCAGAATTGAAATGACACCACCCTAAACGAAATACTTCGTGCTGTTTATAGGAATTTCATATCGCCTCCACACAAATGCGCCAATTACCGGAGCCTGTCGAACACTACACGTCATGTTTAGGATTAGCTACAATGATCCGTAGTCAAAATCCGTTTAAAGGTAAAAATACGCGATTTTGCTACAAGGAAATAATGGAATTGCTGGAGTTGCGCCATCCCAATTTTACAGCACTACAGATGGGCCGATTGAGAACCGAGCATAGCAACTTTAACAAAGATAATTACGAAACAGACTTCGCGTGTTCCTTAACGCCAGTTACCGCTTCCGTAAAGCATTGCTTCGTTTACTGTTCACACATCTGTATGCACTTCTAAGGACCTCCTTTCGGAAGCGCTGTCCCAGTGCTATTTTCCTAAACGGCAGTGGTCATTCTTGCATGATGAGCACATGTTTAATTTTCACAGTAAACTGCACCGCCGAGAAATTTCCGTGTGTAATAGTGTACCTGCAACGAAAAGCCACAGAGAACTCTATCATGGCTGCAGACACGAAAAGCGCGTGGATTAATAGCATCGGTTATACATATAAATTTATACATTAGGGTAATTCAATAAACGTCCGCTAGTATATTGTTAAGTACCACAATTATAAAATATTATTTTTTATTGAAAGCCTTTAGCTTTTCTCTTGGCGTTTACGGGTTGCGTGTAGCTTAGCAATAGATACAGAATTAATTTATTCCTAGTCTACGATACGCACAGTTCGATCAACAAGGGAACCACGGAATTAGTAGCCCTCCAAGGGCACCTCAAAGCATGGGACCCATAGGGCATACAAGAAAATTCCTGCCAACCACTAAATGTATATAAGCTTGAGGAATCCGTTAGTTCAAAAAGTTATACTCGCAGTTATGCACATGTAACAGCAATTATAATTCTCTAGCGTCTGAATTTAGCAGGCGCATGATGGCTGGTCCTGTCAACTTAAGTAGCTTTAAAACACACAGGAAAGCCTTTACAGGACTGATCTAAGTTTGAATCATTCTAAAATATGCTGTGTCTGTAGAGGGTGCATTTCAGTACAGTTATTTATGGAATGTTATGACGACACATATGGCGGCAAAACAACTTTTGAGGAGTGCTTCCGGGAGCCGTTATTTTCACAGGAGGCTGGAATTAAAAATTTGGGGATGGGTTTAGATCTTTCAGTGAACGTTATTCATACACTTCACATTATTTATTTTTACTAATTTAAGTTGACACCTCACGTTATGTTTACACGGTTTACAGTAAATCTCTCACGTATTAGATGTGTTTTTGGAAGTGGATAGCAGGGGTACACGTGTGCACCAGACGTACGTCTGGGGAACTAAGGGTGTCAATATCTTTGTATAACCTTTATCATAATCTTGTCAGTACACCGACTACCATCATTATTATCTAAAAAATTTTGGATTATGGGTTTGGAACAGAAGATAAAAGAATCTAACTCCACTTATATGCATATCCTACCCACCATCCGAACTTTCTCGCATTCCCGGTCTTTTGCACCCACGAATCTGACGCCGTGATGGGTTTCAGTGACTCAATCGGCCTACAAGGCGAAGAGGAACATATTCTGACTGAGCATGATGGTGAGGAAGACTTAGAGTTAAAAGCCAGACGTTTTCACTTCTACAATGCAAAGGCATTTTTACTCACCTCTAGTTCGGTTATCAACGACAGCGTGTAAACCCAACTTGCGCCTAAAATCTGCCTGTTTAGATATGAACACATGGTGAAATTTATCAAGTGCATACTTAAGAACGGTGAGGAAAGCAGGTTGAATGACACAGAACAGCTAAGCCGCTTCATAAAAAGACGACTACATGATTTCCTTGGTGAACAAGTGAACACGGTAGATGATCTCTCTCCAGAAAGACGCATTGCGTTCTTGCACAAGGACAAATATCAGCAGCCGATAAAGGTATAATGGTGACTTTTATCATTCCTATTATTTGTCTTAGAAAAGTGCGGTTGCTTCTGACACTGAATCTTCAGCTATTGCCATTCCTGACATCACCGGTATACTTAATGCCTTTATGCATGCCGGAATTGGTAACACTCCGTTTGACCAATCATCTTCCGTTAGGTTTTTACATGATTGAAGCTTATAATTTGTTACTATCTCTGAGAGATTTCGTTAAAAAACATCGGGTGAATGGATTGAGATTTTGGGGAAAGATATATGGAACAAAGAAAAGCTATTACATCATTGAGACTGATAATGATCTGCTAAGAATAAACGGTATACCAGCTACTGAAATAAGGTCAGGAAATGGAATCCAGCAAGCAACCCTAACAAAGAATTCTGACGAATTCACTCCGGATGGTGATATGGATCCGCCCCCAAAGCCAGACTGGCGTGCTCCCTCTGAAATACCAATGGAAGACCCCGGAAAAGGAGTGAATAAAAAGGCTTATTACGTTTGCAATGATTTGCATGAAGACTGGACCAGACTACCCGAAGTTACTCCTAGGCAAGTAAGTAAGGGTACAGTTCCAGTATCTACACATTTTGCAAAGCATGGAAATTACTATTTTCACTAATTTAAGCCAGACGTATTCCTCTAAAATACCCACGTTTATTAGTTGATGCCACTGCACGTTTAAAATTAAAGCTTTTTTCAGTCCTTTGTTGAGAACTGATGCCTAACATGTTGTTGCTTTAGCACGTTTTCGCAATGACAATTTTTTGGACGATTTGCGGTTTACTTGGAAAGACGTCCTCACGGCTTATCATGATTGATTAGTTTACTAATGCTCTAATTGATGAGCAAAATGCACACACACAGTAGTATAATATCATATGAGGCAAAAGCGTGTTTAGATTAGTTCAGGTACCACAGCGATAGAGGCTTTCTCTTAACGGGCGTCATGTTTTTTTGCTGGTAAGTGAAATATAGCCCCACCTTTTGACTTTTGATTGACTCTGCTTGCTTCTGTAAAAGATTGAAGAAAGAACAAGAACACACTTTGCACTTTCATATGTCAGCATCAGAAAACACTACATATTCCTGTATACTTACAATATTTCTGGAACAAGGTAGGACCAATTATCTAAGCTATCTTTGAAGACTTCTACAGTCTCATATTCCACTCACACAGTAGGAAGTTTGTTCCGGTTGTTATCTACCCGGTTTGTAAATATTTTCGCCCTGATGTCTAAACGAGCCCTATTTTGTTTGGGCTTCAGGTGATGCTTGCGCAGTTTGACGTAGCTAGCTCAAGCAGATGGGTAGGATTGATGCCACCGAGGCCGTTAATGATCTCAAATGTCTCTAGCAACTCCTCCTAAATTTGCGCCCTTTCAAGGAAAATGATCTTAAGTTACTTAGACGATCCTTGTACGGCATATTAGTTGAAGTGTGTTGCTCACCTACAACTAGCATGCCACGATGATTATGACGCGATGAATCTTGCGTATCCGCTGATCCCCATGGTTTTATGTTGGCTCTGTGTCTAGTTGATAGACTGCTGAGATTAGTAGTTGGCGGCATCCGGTTTTGGATTTGCTTGTCACTGTGGCCAGCCGCAGGACGCCTGCGCCTACAGAGAGACCATGGGTGGCTTGCGCTGCACCACCCACAGCTCCAACCACACACCCCATATCCAGTGTAAACCCGAAGGAATAAGACCGGGAGGCATGTGGATAGGAGCCACGTTTCATACGCGTTTGCGTTACGTGGAATGCTCTATCGGAATATGCCATGTGTCCCCATGCTAGCAGAGTTCAAAGCCCGATTTGACTGTGCACTTATTTCGCTGCACCATCTTACATGACCTATTACCCATAGATAAACACAAGTGCCTGTAAGCGATTTCAGTGGGGGTCACAGCACAGATTTCGTTTCACGTTTTTCACCTGTTGTATGTGTACACCAGAAGGAGACTTGATATTCACTAACATCTAATTTGCGGTTGTTTTTGTGGGGTTGCCTTGGATTTACAGTTTATAATATGCATACCTCAGTGAGTTCACTGGCGTAAGCCCAATTTTGCTGACACCTTTTCATGTTTTGTAGTTTCACCATAGCCACCCTCCGGGAACTGTTAAAAATTAGCATTTTACCCGTATAAAACCATTGTTCACTTTTGCAGAAATTGTGACAGAGCACTCCAGCGAGGTGATATTTGGAAAGTGTGAGCTCGGGTGGCGGAACACTTGGTCATATAGCAATAAATTGGAATACCTGTAGTTCGGGTGATCTGTCCAGATTTCGTTCTGCTCTCCGAGCCGAATAGCTTCGTTACAAACGTTTCGTCACCAATCTTGGTGACTTCTTCAGTGTGTAATAAGCCAACTGAGTTGTTTTCTCGACTCTTACGGAGGAGCGAGTGACATTTGAACTTGCTCAGATCGATTCAGGCCCCGTGACCATTGCTAGTCG